GCATACTTTTCTGCATGCTCCAAAGGCTGTAACATTTGGCATCTTAAGGAAGTCTTCTTGGCACTTCAGGCCTAGGGTAAAAAAAAAATTCTACAAACTATTCCTCATTGAAATTGCCAAGTTCAGTGAATGGCATTTTATTGACATGTCTGTAGGATCCTGTACCAAAGTTCAGATTCTTAAGTTGTTGAAATTGTCACAGTGCACCTCTACTAGCATAGGTGTTATCTATAGCAAGATCAGTCAGTGTATACACAACAGAAACCCAAAGAGAACTTTTCTTCTTTGCTTGTGATTCAAACCACCCTTATACAAAGGAGGCAGAACAATACAGATTATGTGTCAAACAAGAGGGTCTTGTAGGTTATTCAAAGTACAACCTCTACATTATGTCTCCTGCTGATACAGTTCATCTCTAGATCATAAGGAACCCCTGTAATACACATAACAGCTTAGCATTGCCTGAAGTTTTTTATGCGCCTCAAAGACACTAAAACACCTTCCAACAGGGCCAACATTATGTTAAGAGAGTAGGAAAAAAACAAAGTATCACAAGGATTATAACTCACAATGTTCTTGAGGAAAAAAAATTAGAATCGAGGATGTGAGAATTGGTATAAAGTTCATAATAGGTATGTTACACCCTCAGAACATATGAAAATGTCTAAACACAGCATATATATCATAAGCATCCCACCTGCTCATTCTGATGAGCCCTGCCACTCACACTTATATAAAAAAGTACATGAATGCTTGTGTGGGCTGTGGTACAGACTTGCTTGTCACATGGCTGATGATCTCAACCAAATGAAAATCCTTTTCATTTACCAAGTACACCAAATGCACTTCCCCTACATTTCTCCACCTATCTATAGATAATAAAATGAATGAATCTGATTGAGCTGATACATCTAACAATATGAACAGTTCTGCAAAAAAACATGAGGTACTTCCAGTTGTTTGATAGGAATTATGAGGAATATACAGAATAGAAGGTGGCACACACACATTTTTTGGCTCCAAATAGGGATGCCCTGTCTAACACATCACCTCAATTCCAAACTTCTCTTTATATCATATTTCACTGTCTTAAGTTCCCCTTACATTTCTGTATATCTTTAGAAAGATGACAGGCAGATACAGATGACAGACAGATATACATTAGAACAGTGACACAAGAGCATCATCTGAACAAAGCAGATATCTCATTTTAAGTAGTATTTGAGTTCTTTGACTATAAAAACAAAACAACAACAACAAAATTTCCTCCATTTTCTGATCAATTTTTTTCATGTATAGTGCTGAGATTAAGATTTCAAAAATGGGATAATTTAGTTAGGCAGGACTTCGTAAGACACGAGACCATGAAAAATTATATATATTTTGTTAAGTCATTCTCTTTTTTTTTTAAACCTACTTTAAATTTCAAAAATTATATGAAAAGATAATTTGTTTTTAAAATCCACTATCCTGTAATAAGTGCTAGAGTACAGAAACTTAACTCGATTAAGGTCAAAAACCACTTTGGTAGTTGAGGTCATCACCGTCTTTTAAAATTTCATTTCATAAAAAAAAGCTTCAAGACAGTATGACTTGTTCACATTCCAATAAAATTAATTAAAAAAAGGCACTTTAGATTAAACTCTTCATTATAAATACTTTTGCAACTGCTAAACTGCCATTATTGTTTGACTGTATTTTTAAGAGAGATCTCACTGAGAGTTCATGAAAGCTACAGTATTGCACTCCCAGAGACTTAAGTCCTAATGAATTTTTACCATCATTTTTCTCCTCTCTGTAAAGCAGCACAGAGAATGACCAGAGAAGTCACAGCCCTCCTTCCAGCTGCAACCTCTTCAATAAGCACTTTCTCAAATCCCAAACCTCCATAAAGTAGGTACTTTACAGGCACAGGTACATAAAAGTGGATACACATTGCCCTAAGACAGCCACTTGATGAAAGGACTGAAATGCCCCCATCTGGTCCATTCACACCCCAGTCCCCCATATGACAGATTGTACCACAGCACCTCTAAGGGAGCATTGGTACCAGGTTTTTCCAAACAGCCTTTTCGTCCCAAAACCATTAACTCTTTTGACACTTGTACCTCTGAGCACCTGCAGGCAGTGAGCACAGGAGGTCTCTGCTGAACAGAATAAACGCACCTCACTGCCTGGAGCCAGGGAAGAACCCATCACCCGCAAGCCTAAGCAGAGATGTGACACGAACCCTCACCCAGCCAAAGCAGTATGCCACAAGGTAGCTTATTCAAGCCCACGTGGCAACTCTGCAGAGTCATATGTTCTTCTCAAACAGGCACACGACCACAGAAGTCACAGACAGTACAGAATTTACAAATTCTTGAGTATGCAGGACCATTCTTCCCTCTCCACAGTATGTAGCTAAAGTACTTTAGAAACCACATGCCATAAAGAGATAATTTATTGCCAAAATGCAAATCTTCAGAACATCTGTCTGTGAGGCCTCTCCATAAATTCACATAAAGCTATCAAGGCTCAGGCTTACAGCACAGCATAACCACGCTGAACAGTGTTTCAGACACTCTTCAGATTCTTCAGTATTCTGGATACTGTCCAAGTAGTAATTAATAGAGTCAACACATTCCCAGTATTTGGTGTTGATTCTGAACCACACAAAACTGTCTCCTCTGAGAGTAGTGAAATGCAGAACACATGAAATCACATCAGACTCTTTCAGATGTGGAACTTACACAATATTTGCTGCGGCTAATAAAATCTCATCAGCCCTTATTCATGCTAGATAATAACAAGCTATTTTCTGTCAGAGTCAGGGACATTTAAAAAAAAAACAACATGCCATCTCCTCCAGTTATGAAAAGAAAGAGCCACTTCTACAAAGCTTTATTTTATGGCAATATCAAAATAATGTAAATAACACACTGGAAGCACCACAAGGCATTATGAGCTTCACATAATCCAGTTACCTACCACCAAATCACTGAAGAGGGAAGAAAACTGCAGCTTCTGTGATGCTTACAAAACAGCTGTGTTACTCACAGTCAACAGAGGGGCAAAGCCCTGTGTTTATTTCTGGAAGATCTAGACAGGAATGGTATCAGAACCAATTTTTCTGGCCTCACCTCCAGTTTGCAAGACCGAAGCTGAAAGGGCCATTCAATCCGTTATACCCCTGCAACATCCGGCCCGGTGAGCTTGTCCACAAGGATGCCAGTTCATGCCTGGCAAACAGGTTTGCTTGCTCACTCCCACCATGTATGAAGCCACAGTTTCACCAGAGCACACGGATAAAGCTTTGACTGTTGAAGAAGGCTTCAGTGTCCTCTCCAGAAGCGCTGTGCAAGCATTTCCAACAGCACTTCCGATGCTGCCTATCTCTGAGACGATGGGTCACACAACAGAGCAAGGCATTTACAGATATTAATGTGATAGTATTCTATTGTCAAGTCAACCAGCAGAAGGCAATGCTGTGAGGAAAGACCTGTAGCAGTTGGTACGCTACAGCAGTGACACAGATGTGAACTGAAAAGGGAGAAATGTAGAGAGAGAGGAATGCCTAAAAAGCATTCAAATACGACTGAATGTGTTTTGTTTAAGAGGAGACTAAATTTTTCCTTATTTACACCTCAAAACTGAACACCAGTTTGCTGCATATCCAGCTTTTTCTTATTCAAATATAGCCCTTGTGCAAGGGCAGGTATTACCAGACCCTGAGGCTAAGCCTTCTCAGCCTGAGTGTTTTATTGAACTACTGTAATTCTCTTGACTTCTGAAAATCGAATCTTTAAAAACATTAATACCCCAGTGCTGTTTTACAGAATCCCAAGTATCTCAAGGATAGCCCATGAAAAGGATCTAAAATAAATTGTGCATGATCTTAAATTTACTTCATACATATGGAGGATTTTTAGGGCTCAGTGAAATAGCAAATACCAGTGTGTTTGGCTCAGATTTTGATCTTGCAAAATTAGGTAGTCCCTCTACCCTTGTACAGGACAAGCTAATAACATTAAAAAAAATACTCTCTACAACTGGATATAAATAAATCATCTAACTACTGGATATATAAATGAAATAAATATTTTCATTTCTCCTACTAATTGAATACAGGAAGTACACAATTTTCAAGCTGGCCTTTCCTGTTCCAATACCAGATACCAAAACTTCATTACTCAGTTGTAATTACTTCCTCTTCATGATGTAGTTCATAGGTAGTGAGAGGAAGGCTACATTTAATACACATAAGGCACTTGGTAGAAAAAGTGATGCTGATTGGGCAAGGACACATTACCACACCTTTGCTGAATTAGCCAGGGACCTTCGTATAAAGTTTTTGCTGGCTTTGTACAGGTTCATGGAGGAGCACATAATGCATGCCAGCACAAGGTTAACCTGCCAGGAATTTTCCAATACATTTGAACCATCAGAAGGAATTTAAATTTCACCAAAACACTGTGGTCAAACAGTGAGATTAGAAGAGAAAATATAGTGGAAGCAGAAGGGGATAAGAAAAAAAGGGAATGAATGGTGACAGCTGGTGGAGGGGAACCATATCCTAAATAATTGGGCTGGACAGAAAATGATTCTTGAAGCAGGGAGAGCCAGAACAAGGGAAGAGGCAGTCTTCCAAATACATTTGGGTTATTTAGGAATATAGCTCTATGGTATCAGGTGACATATAAAGGAGATTATTTTCATAGCAAAGTGGCAGCACTAAGGAATCAGGAAAAGTAATACTCCAAGATACTGTGATAAATTTCTTGCAATAGACCAGTTAGGTCGATTTCTCCTTATATATCCTTATATAACCTCACAATGAAAGCCCTGTCCTCCCCTTCCACCCTAGAAAACAATAAACAGCACTCACTCTTGCTAAAAAAATAAATTAAAATATATATATAAAAAATTACACCACGCAGTCATGGTACAAACCAGCTCTTGTACTGTGAAAGGGAACAAGGAAAAACACATCAGTGTTACACAACAGTAGCAATACTTACATTCTTGTATTGCTGGTCTTGTTGATAATTACAGATTTTCCAGTCTGATCCACATTGTGATCCATTCCAAAGTAAGCTGCCACTCTGTGCACTAGCATCCTCTGATACGAAGACATCTGAGGGAACTTTTTATAGTGATTACTAGGAAAAAAGAGAACAAATAGCATTGATAATTACATTTCCCTCTGAGCTATAAATAAATGAAAATAGCAATACATTTGATAATTCAGTGGACAGAAATCTAACTTAAAATTTCTCCATTGCACATTTACATATAAATGTTTGCTACAGGAAGGCTGGAGGGAAAAAAAAAAGGAATTAATTTTAAAATTTCTATAAGTGCATTTCCATGTGCTACATTGAGACAAACAAAGCTCATGCTTCATGGTACCTAGTGAGTAGTCTGTGTGTTGGGAGGAACTCATCTGCTGACCCCCCCACCTCCCACATACACACTCCCTGCTCAACCAAACCTACAGATTTGTTGAGACACTAGCAACAGCTTTGTGCCTTTCTCCCAGAGGTCAGATGCAGGATGATTCGGGAAAGATGTTGTTTGGCAAATATTCCTTTTTTCTCTATTACTGACGAAACGCTTATTTCCCGTCAGCATAATTTCTTCCTCTGCGGCTATTCTGACTCTCCATTTTTAAAGCTGCAGAAACATTTTACTATAAAGAGCTAATGATAACAAGAATCCCTCCACCCAAGTTCAGTTTTATTTTCCAATGCCTTAGAATAATATAGCACAAAGGAAGAGCCAAGAGATAACACCCTTGATTATTCTCTACACTAAAAGCTTTAATTATATTTTTGGATCTAAATGAGCGGAGCCAGTGCAATTATAACACAATGAAAAGCAAAAGGTTTTCATTTACATCTACCGTATTTTAAGCAATACCACCACGTGTCAGGAAATAAAAGCCTGCTCTTGCAGCGTGCCAGTAACAGTCCTCAGGAGCACTGGGTCCATACGAGCGAATCCCTCGCACAACTCACATTGCAACACAAGCACATGACTTAATAACCAAGTGTGGAACTCGACTTACTTGTTGTCACTAATAAAATCAATAATTTCCTGTTCCATTTTCAAGAGTATCATTCTGTCCCTGTCAAAAAGAAACGCAAGGAATTGTACCATCAACTATCAACAGACATTTTAGAGGAAAAATTAATATATCAGCATTTGAAAGGCTATTTTGCAAGCGCTGTCAGTCATCTTGATTAAAAATGAAACGTGCTTTACCCTGGCTCATGTGGAAAAGACTGCAGCCTGCTTTGCTGCAGCTTTGCAGACATACACGACAGGTTCTGCTCTTCTCTGAGCTCAGCTATGGTCTGAAAGCACTTCCGGCCACAACAGGCTGCAACCAATGTGTTGCATAGAAAGATCTGACTGCTATGGATAGCTTTGGTCCTTTTTCACCCCTTTTTTGATGGAAAATGAGATTTCCAGATAACCTAGCTCTTTCACAAGAAGAGTTGCTACCCACAGAAATTTTCAACATTTTGCCTGAGACATATCTTCCACGGGGCATTGATTTGCTGCAAGAAGACTGGACATATCCAATCTAGTTAGAGAGTACAAGAGAGAACAACGCCCTTGAACTATGGCTCCCAGGAGGCTCCACAGTATTTCTCAGTCAAAATGCTCTGTTTTCAACTGGAAAGTCCCAGATATTCCTTTTCTTCCATGCTCTCCTGCCAAAAACATTCAAAAATTTCCCCAGTGTATTTCACACATTTCTAAGGTTGACAGAGTCCCATCACTCCTTAGTTCTTCTGAACTTTCTCATTTTGCACAGATAAAGCAATTGAAGGACCTTCCATCATCTATACAAGAGGTTATGCAAGTTCTCCTATAATTGCAGAATTACATGGTACCTATTTAACAGATCCAATTGAAATGAAGGACAAAAATCACAATGTATAAAAATGTTACAGATCCTTCCTTAGATGTTTAGAGGCAAATTTAATGATGAGATGGGCTTGTAGCTCCAAATGACAACTATGGGAATACTGAGAGCAGAATTTGGCACTGTGCACAGGATTTTAATTGTGTGCCGCACAATTAAAGGAAAGCTATTTTATATTCATATAGAAATCTCCAACTGTAATCGTTATAATGTATTATTGTAATCACCACATAGAGCCGTATACAAGAAGGTAAGGATAAAGACCAGATGTTAAGTGAAATTAAGCAATGGGTGACTGGATCAAGGAGTAGAAGTTGATGACCTTTTATAGCATTTCTCTCAGTTAACCGCCTACCTCCTTTACATTTTGCCTCATAACCATCTCCAGAACAAATAAAACACAGTGTACAGCTACGGGAAGTCAAAACCTGCCACCTATAATTGCAAGAATACCAGTTCTAACACAGGAAATACCTACCTGGGGTTATTCTTTAATGTGTTAATGAGAAACTCATGCAAATCTATGCCTGTTGAATCTGTATACTCTTGACTGCAATCTGAAAAATAAAAACAAACACCCTCCACTCATTTATTTCATTTCAACAGTTACAATTAAGCTATGCTATAAATCAAAATCCCTTTTCCAGCAATAATCTGAAAGCACATGCTCTGAAAGTGTTCATTTGGAGTTCAGCCAAGAGGGATCTACATTCTGAAGCATCAAGTGGACATTCATGGTTCCTCTGTACCACTCCACCGAGAACACAGCACCAAAACTAAACATTGAAAGAAACTGCAGGTTATTTAAAAACACGGAAAACCTTCAACCCCATTCAAGATCCTGCCAAGTTCTTCCTTTAAACCACTAAAACAAATTTTTAAAATGAGGAAAAAAAAGTTCTATTCATCAATGTGTCTTTGTATCCCTTAATAAATGTTGTACACAGTAAATGAGGAATCATGCCAGTGGGAACGCTATTTGCATTAACAGATTGAAATCCAATGACACCTGGGAGTGGGTAGGTAATAGGGATGCGTGACAGTAGTCAGAATTAGTGTTTCAGTATTATCTCCTGACTCAAAAGTAAACACAGATCGTCATGTTGGCGTGAACTGTGAGAGCTCCATTGGAGTCAAATGACTATTCACACCAGCTGCAGATCCACACTCAGGTAGGCAATGATTATTTCGAGAGATTACACTGCAACTGTATTCCATGGATTAATAAAAAGATTTAAAAAACAATACCAAATTTAGATACAAGATCTTTCCTGAATAAGTCTTACTAGGTGATAATAGTAAATTGCAATGCAGGTTGAATGCCAAGGATGGATTTCCTTACAGCATTTAAGATAAATACTCCAGGAGAGAGGAACAATAGTAAAGAGGATTACTCTCTACTGCCTACACTGCACAAGTTACATGCCAATATATTATCATTAATGTGGAAAAAAACCATATTAGTGTCCTACACTTACTATATAATCACATATATATTTATATATTTATGTGTTTATACCAATATGGTTAAGTATTCAAAAGATTGCTTTTACATTAATGAAAACTAATAACATCTAATATCAAACCTCAGTTTGGAAGGTTCCTTCACTCTCAAAGCCTGATGTTTGTATGAAAAAGGCTCTCACGCACATACATTTCAGGTTCTGAATTTTCTCAATATGAAAACACTCCTACTTATATATTTATACACAAATAAATAAATACATACTTATAAAAATATATGATCCTTTCTACAACAGTAATCATAACAATTTAAATATTTTTAAGTTCACCTTTTGATAACATTCTGATCTTGTTTTTTTCACTGTTTTTATCTTTATTTTTATCCTTCTCTTTTTCTTTCTCGGAGTCATCTTTATTATATTTATCTTCTTCTTGCAAGCTAGGAAAACTGGAAAGCTGTAGTTGGATTGATTCCTGTTGGGAAAAAAAAGATAGATAAATTATGGGCCAGATTCAGTAAGCTTCCAATGGCTTCCAACCTGCAGATATTGGCATTAAACTATGTGTAGCTAGAGAAGTTGAAGCCAGATACATTTCTTTCCTATTTGAAAAATGGGGTTTTTTTAGCCAGGAGAGTAACGACATCTTAGAGGCCAAATTCTACTAGTAAGTAGGTATTTTTTTCTCTAATATTTGAATACTATAAAATGTTAGTCTACCTATATTAAGGGCACTATATTATGCTCCACTTCAGTAATACTCACTTAAGAGTTATTAGAACAATGAAATACATTTTATATGGGCTTTCTTAATTAATTTTATAATTTAATACTACACGTGTTAAGTGATGATCGATGGATGGATATCTGAAAAATATCACTTCTTCCCCTCTCTAGAAAACCTGCAGTTTCATATGAACTGTTTTGCACATGTAAGTGCAGTATCAGCTAGACTGAGCCTTCTGGGTCTGATAGTTGAAGAGCCCCAGCAAATTATATACTCAGTTGTATACAAGAGGACATACTAACTAATCAGGTACTTTACATTTAAAGACATACGGAGATGTGCCTTTAGCAAAAGAGGTGAAATGCGCACTGTGATCTTTCAAGTACGTTATAGTAAGTGAACTTCTTTAAGGCATCATGAGTTTTATCCTCAAAAAGTCAGTATTTCAGAGACTATGAGTCCCTTTGAAAGCATGCTTCAGCTTTTAAAAGTTAATTAAAACTCAGAATTCAAGCTGGTTTGCATTTTCTGATTTTCCTTAAAGAACTTGTTTTTCCCTGCTTACAATATTACTTTATACCAGCTTTGTTTTAACAAAACCAAATTGTTTTCTTTTGAAGTCACCACGGCACAATCTACATATTTCAAGAAATCTTAAACTGGTTGGACAAAAGTGAAGGAAGCATACTTCTGTGTTTTATTCTTTTAAAGAAAAACAAAAGTGCTCAAAGTAATACTATATGATTAAGTAGTGTAAAAAAACCACGTTTGAAGTAAGCTGTCACAAAACTCCCTGGTAAAGTGGTTTTCTTTAATAGAAGAGAGTCCTGCATGCCTGATAATTTTTTGGCATTATGTTAATAAAAACCTATATCACCAATACTGGAGAAAATTGGAGTTTCTTGAATGCTAGTAAATTCCCTTCCTTCACAATTTTTCAAAGTATACTAGCATACCAAAAGAGTAATAGAAAACATTAAAGTAAGGGGTGGTTTTTTAAACAACCAGACCACTATGAATTCAAAAAATGCTTCCAGTAATTATTACAAATTTTACGTTTCTGAATTCTTTAAAGAACTACAAATCAGCCATCACAATACATGTAAGACAAGCTCCTAACAGAACGGGATATCAGCATAAACATGTCACAGTAAGACAGAAATTGGTAACTTCTCAGCTGAATCATTATTGACTTTTTGTGAAGTTTGAATGTTGCACAAAAGACTTGAGATGAAAAGCATTGTAAAAGAGAAACAAAACCCTGGACCCAAAATTTAACCTGACCTACCATCCTTAGTCCCTACTGTTAGTCCCTACTGTTAGTTTTGGCTGACAGTATTAGCCGGAAATTGAGCCTACAGAGGGAAGGAGTGGGATTCCTGGTCATTTGAGGTAAGGCTTCATAGAAAAATGTTCCCTAACCTGCTCAGTTGTGCTCAGAAGACTATCGCTATGCCTACTTTCTTTCACTTCAAATGGCATTTCAATTTCTCTTCAAACAACAAAGTTTGGATCAACCACTGCTAAATGACCCCAAAGGATAACTTTTGATTCCAGGTACTGCCAGAAGCAGAGCGACTTGTGCTGCTAGCTTTTCAACAGGAGAAAAATGTAACTGGCCATGCTGTTCCCAGGATATTAATCCTAAGCTTCACAGTGGTTCTTAAAAATGCACATATGAAAATGATGGACTTTACAATCATATGAACACAGCACACGTATGAAGATACAGTAGATACTGTTTTACATGTAATGTAATAGTGATGTATCCGCACTAGAAGAAACACACAGAAGGGCTGTAGAGTCGTGAAAGCAAGCTACTGTATATTTTCTTAGATTTTTTATTGATTTTTCTCAATAGTAAAATACAATGTTAATAAATACATTGATACAAGTATAGAGAACAACAAAATAAATAATCAAATTGCAATAATACACTTCTTGGTCAATAGTATAACATTAAAGGCAACATTTCTTTTAAGTAAGGACACAGCGAACCATCAGGTAAGCATTCAAGATCAAGTAATACAGGTAAACAATTTTTTTCCTTATACAGGAAAATGAAGGCAAGTATCCAAATATAAATACAAACATCAAGTCTGCAGTACAATCCATACTCAGTAGTTCTGGCAATGTACCGTACATTCTCTGGTAATTAATTCCCTGTGGTTTGTAAACCATTAAGATAAAATAACACTTTAAAAATTTTAAAAAAATAATTCCAAACCAAAAAATAAGCTATTTCTCCTCTAACGTGAAAGCAAAGGAATTTGGTTGGCATAAAACTTCCTGTATCCTTCAGCCAGCCCAAGGAGGAGCCTGCAGGTCCAGCTTTCCATGGCAAAGCTGAGCCACATTCATTAGTAAAAGGTCAGTGAGAGCAAAAGGGCAATTCCTATCAAATTAATTACACCAAGCCAATTGTGTCTTTAGGAAACAGATGCTGGGGTCAAGGGAGACATTTCATCTCCCATAAATATTTTAAGACAGTCAAAGAAATCTTTGCCACAGCTGGTCAGTCAGGTAAGATCAAAGGCTGTGTGTAACAGGAACTCCTCCTCTGCCTGGTGTAAGGATTGGGATTTTGCCTCAACACCTGCCAGTCTCTCTGACATTTAGTACAGGTCCTGTGCAGTACATTATAAACTACCAGCAATGCTTAATACAATCTCTTTATATTGTTCTCCTTTTCATTCTCCATTAAACAGTAGAAAATACAAATAAAATCAGAACAAAAGCCACGCATTTTGAGTGACGCAAGTCAAGCAGAAAGCATCCTACCTACAACAGAACAACTGATAAAATAACCTGCTCATCTACTGCATAAGCATCATTGTAGAGCAGTAGAACATGTAGATGTCCCGCTGCTAAACAATTTGGTTTTTGGTCTTTCAAAAAAATTAAAAAAATAGAAAAACCTCTCCTTACTTATGAGCTAAGAGGAGAGAAAGATTTGTTTCATTTCAAGTCAATAGAGGAAACAGTGAGAAAGTACACTTAAATGTCTTTTTTTTTTTTTGTGCTAAGCTCACAAGAAGCCACTTGCTCAAGCTCTCTTGATAGCCAGTCTCAACTGTACATAAACATCTCATAAATTATAGGCAGTATTCACGATATTTTCGGTTTAGGTTAGTTGGGGTTTTTTAAGCCTTGCTCTCACTAGGCAAGCAAAGAGGAGTAACTGAGGCTTAATTTTTGCTTTTTGCAGTACTTTTTGAAGTTAGTCTACAAAGACTGCCACCAGTGTTATTGTCCAAGGTGAGGGGTGCAGAGGACAGAACTCTACCAGCTGCTGGGAATACAACACTACCAGTACAGATAAACTCAAATACACACTTTTTGATAGAGGATAATTTACATCAAGAGTTTAGAAAACGAATGCCACTCAGTAGGAAGCATCCTTGGCTCTATCAAGGTATTTTAGAGAGCAAAGGACATTTGAATTTTATGTGAATGGGCACACCGATATGAACTGGAGTCTTAGAGGAACCAGAAACCAGAGCATATTCATAACTGTATTTGGTGCAGCCTCGAAAGAGATAGCCTTAGAGACAAGAACATATTAATATTCTTTTTGATTGTTACTATTTTTTAAAAATTTTAATATCTGAATACTTTTGAATTCTTTTCCATTTGCTGAAATTTTCAGGGGGTCTGGAAAAAAAAGCAAACAACACCCTGTGATATAGTATAAAACTAATATTTCAAAATAAAGTTCACGCTAAACCAGACAACTCCATAAAAACATGTTCACTGTTGGATGTAATTTTTCCCCCAAGAAAGACACTGTTAAATGCCCAATTAAATAACACAACCATGCAACTGAAGATGGAGGTCAACCATGCAGCTAACAGCAACGATTGCAAATGTACCTGATTATCATGAAGATTTTCTGCTCCCTGACGAGGGGATGACTCCTCACACACAGCAAGACTCCGGACAAGTTTTCCTTTAGCTCCTGACTGAATAAGAGACAGAGAAAACAAAACAGAAAGCACTACTACTGACCCCAAGTCACATAATCTGCCCAAATATCTGCCTAAATATCCCAAATAACAACTAAGCACCCCATCAGCAAAAATGTATCTGCCTTCAATGGGGATAGAAGAGGATCCTAAGCAGTGACCCTTTGCCACAGGGAAGGTGAAAGGTTTCTTTTTTCCTTTTAATCATTTCTGCTACAGTTCATTCACTTCCACCAAAAATTTTAACTGCAAAGAATGGATAATCCAATACTGAAGGTAATTTAACATAAACTCAGAGGTTCCTTTCGTCATATGGTTTGGGTTTTTGGTTTTGGTTTGTTTTTTTTTGAGGGTCCCTCCCTTTCTTCTAGTAGTACTATATCCAAGGAACACGGACAATAAAATGTGCAGGTGTTATGGATCTGCACTTGAAAAATTAAAAGAAGTTTTTAGGGTTTCATTTGTTCCTAGAAGCTCCTTCCCATCCCTGCCCCCACCCTCTCCCCCCCTTAGGGAATTTAGCAATCTCTGCTTCCTTCTGTCAAGATTAGTCCATTAAAATGGACTTAAAATTCTAAGAGAAACATTAATTACTAAAGCAAAAGGAATGTACCTTTTCCTTCTCCAGTGGTGCACAGAAGCACACATGCTGCCTAACACAAGCACACAGCAAGCCCAGCAGCATAAAAGTATGATGGATAAAGGGCAGTCTGACACATTATATCTAGAGGCAGTTGTCTGCCTTTGTGCAACAAGAATACGGGGTAAGGGACAGAAAAAAACCCCACAACATAAACAAAAAACCAATCACCACACAAGAAAGGCTACCACTTCAACTGCAGGCAGACATTTAATTGAAATTCTTCATCCTGTTGTGGCAAGCAATTCCAAACAGAGATAGACCCTTACCTTGGATCTCTTTTTCTGCTGATTTGCACCTCGTTTCTGGGTATAGCAAAAAAAGAGAAGCAGTTATCACTTCAGTGGAAAATGGGCATGACAAGAGCATTACCAACATATAATCTCAATCACTTCTAAATGACATTTTACATCAGTTTCTGACTGCAAAAGCAACTTCCTCAAACCCTGTTTGGAAAGCAGGGAAAATCAAGAATCATCTCTGCTCATTATTATTCATTTTATGAACAGGTATAAACAAGAAAAAATACACTGCACAGTGTTCTGCAATTTTGGATATAACAACAAGGTAAGAAAAGGTATACTTAAGTAAATACTCCCCCTCTCCAAATTCCTCTTAAATTGTAGAGTCTCCCTTTATTTTTATATTTGATTGAGCAAAAAGGATTAAAGCCCCCTCATCCGATAAAGGCTTCTTATCAAATTACCTTCTTAGGCTTTGCATAACAACTTTTTGTTGGCAGTAATACCTACAAACCAAACCACATATTAAGTAGTTATTCATTAGTATTACCTGTAAATTCATGAGATTAAGGTAGTTTTGTAAATCCTAACGAGGTAAAACAGTCAAATATTTCACGAAGTTTTAACACAGATGCCTAGAAATAAACTTCTCAGAAAAAGTAATAACAGGGACAGCAGCCTAAAGAGCTTGAAAAGTATAACAAATAACAGCATTTTATAGCAAAAAAAAAAAAGAACCCAAAATAAAAACAAATAAATAAATAATTTTAAAAGCAAAAATAGAAACTGTCTCAAAATCATAAGAGAGAAAATAAGGGAAGTGTAGGCAATGAAAGAAATCGCAGAAATGGAAAAGCAATGGTATCCCATTGATATTTTAACATGCCCATTCACTATTCCTGTCTTACCTGCAGCTCTGTCTTGGAATCGCCGAGCTTCTCCTCCTTCTCCTCTACTTCTGAGCTTTCAGATTTATTAAGAATACAGATGTCTGGATTGGCTTCGGAGATGGCAGTCTCCTGCTCTTTTGCAGCTTCCTCTGCTGTCTCCTGGTTCAATTTACCTTGCTCAGACATTCTTCCAGACAGAAATTAAAATAACAAGATTTGGTGACCTGAAAGGTCATGTTATCACGACACAAACACACACACACAAAAAAAAAAAACCACAGGGGGTGAATTTGCTTTTTTTATTTCCCAGTTGCATTTCCTTTATAAAAAAACCTAAAATGTGCAGCTCAGGAGTGCAAAACTATGTACGTCCCAGCTGAAGAGACACACTGAATCCATAATATTGGGTAACAGCAGAATTGTGCCAGGTTAAGCAAGCAGATCTCCAATTAAACAGTCTTTGTGCAGAGTAGATAAGGTAAGGTGCTGTGACTACCCAGTCCAGCCTCAGGACTGCCAAGGTGCAGGCAGGGAGAGTGAGGCACTCTGCTACAGAGCTCAGTGGCACTAAGCAGGAAGGACCCATTCAGACTTCTAGGTGTATGGCATTTCAGTGCTCCCCTCCCCTAATCTTTCTTCCATTTTTTTTCTTTAATAAAAGATAATAGCCAAACAAATACAAATAAAAACCAAGCATGAGCAACAACACTTTTTAGCACTCAAACAGGAGTTTTATGCATAGCAGAAGCCATGATGCTCATTACCACTTTAAATATATATATATATATATATATAAATATAAATTAAGAGCTAATCATTCAAGATAAAAATGAAATCTAAATTTGGCTATAAAGTTCCCAGGGTCAACATTTTCAGGGATCAAACCAACAGCTCCATTATTAAAACCCTTATCCTCTTCCCAAACTCTATATCATTCTCCAGTACTATGAAAATCCTACAGGAAGCTCTTGGCAGGTACTTCTAATGAAGATATCTTAACCGAACTGCATTTACTCTCAGCTCACAACAGGTTGTTGTACAGAAGCTTTAAAGGCTTTTCAAAGTTAAAGCCTAGTATTATTTTCTCTCTCTTTTTCTCTCTCTCTCTCCCCCCCCACCTCTCTCTTGAAGCCTCTCCCACTGATCAATTGTCAAATCAGACTCATGAATAATTTAACTTTTCTTTCTCCGTCCATTTGGCTTAAGAAGCATCTCCAGGAAAAACAACTGTGGATGAAAAACGGAGTTATTTCAGAAAGGGTCTTTTGCAACACCTTGCCATTTCTCAACAATGAAACAGCGGCTATTAAGCAAAATCACACTTTGCCATGTTTTTTTTTTACAGTTTGAAATTAAACATTCAACAGATCTGGTATCACTTACCTTTGCTTTTTTTTAAGCTATGTTTTAAATGAAAAAAAACTAAGACATACTTTTTCCACTTTTTGCTTTTGTTTTCACACTATAAGCAAATAAAATTTCCTATACAATCTCCCTGTTAAAGAAGGACTGTGGATTCACAAGAAATGAAGCCACATGGTTCACAAACAAACTGACTGGAATCTGAAACTCACAAATTAGCTCACAGTACAACAAGTCAAGCTTCAAGGTATTCACCTTCCTTCCACCACTCTCCCCAAGAGGGCTGATGATACTGGCTATTCTACAGTTACAACTGAAACTTGAACCACTTAATGAAAATTCAGAACACGATGTGTGGCAAGACCTTTAACTGGGCTGTTAAATAATCCTTAATTTGTTAAGATTTTCATCAAGAAATGCGCACACTCTTCATGAACTTGCAGCTCATTGACATGCTTACACAGTGTTCAGAAAAACAATTAGTCACATGAGCTGCACGAAAGAAGCCATTTACCTGAAAAACTGCTATAATTCCCACTGTCTTTCTCGTGTCTTCTGTTGCTCTTTGCTGGTTAAGTCCACACAAATTATCAACGACAACGTGAGTCCCATGTCCCCATTAACAGTTCAGAGGGCCAATCTCCATTCTGGTCCTTCAGAGAGCTTGATGCACCATAGTCAACCTGGAAAAGACGAAAAGTAAATAACAACATCGGTAATGATCATGGCACAAGGTAAGGATGTAATAGATAGGACCAGCTTTCTAACACTAATGACCAGCTTCAAGCAAATCACTTTCACAGCTTGATCCAGCTCCACCTGTCTCAAAACTGCCTGCTTCTTCTCTAATGAAGGCTAGAGCCGGCTGTTCAAGTCATAACAGCTCCTACGCAAGGAGCTAAAATTAACAATTGCATTATGCGCTGAAGATTACTCATTTCAATTTTAACCTTTTTTAGTGAATTCCAGCACTTTTCATTAAAAAAAAGCATATATACATATTTATATATAAGCTCATCTGTTTGCTTCAACAGAAATCAATGAGAGTATGAGGAAAAATTATTTTCCTACTCTTTAACTATGGCTTCTGCTCCAATTAAAATTTCAGTAGTCAAACACTATTAGAAAAGAAGCTAGGTGGGTACTTTTAGAGAGTGACCTGCTTTACCAGGGTAGTGAATAGAGATGTTCATTTAACAAGCCAAATAAAAGCTGAAATGATCCAGAATGGAAGGAGGAGGAGAAGGAAAAAATCCTATTCTTTGAACAACAGCCACCAGAAAAACTTTCATTTGAGGCACTGTGCGAGAAGGGAAAAGCAGACCTCCAGGTTATGGCTTGGAAAATAAACCTAAAGAGAGTTGCCTCAGCAATGCAATTTATGCTGTTCATCAAGATTGTGTTTGCCAGCTGAATAGCTGATTTAACAGAAAACGAGCATTTTAGGATGAGTCGGACTGATTTACAAGCCATGGTCACGTGCTGAACTGTCTTGATACAACAGGCACCTCTTCTCAAGGCTTGCATGTGAGTCACAGTTGAAGCAATCAGTGCACGCACACAAAAACAGCAAATACCAAGCACGAATCATTCTATTCGGGGGGAGGGGAGATGGGGAGAAAAATAGACAACAATAAAATCAAAAAACCTGAAAATCATCTCACGTTGTTAGACTCCCTCTTTCTGCGGTATGTTTTACACTGTGCATGACTGCAATTGCTGTACAGCATGTGCACTGGAACTCACCATGTGAAAAGAGCTAGATTTCATGTGCCAGAAATGGAATTTAGCTTTTCAAAAAAAAATCAAGTCCTGCTCTCTCTGGGAGCTCCAGTGCACAGTGGAGACCAGTAGGCAGTTCTGTAAATTACCACTGCCATCCTGTAAATTTATATACATAACAATATTTCTTTTTCTCAAACCACTTAATAATTTGTACAGAGTCACAAAAAATAAGTCTTCCCGCTAGCTTTTTGCTATTTCTTGCAGGACTTTTTTTGAAATTTTTGCTTATTACAAACATAAGATCACAATGGGAATGGAGGAACAACATGGAAAACTATGCCCAAGCACTCAAGCACATGCAGAAGTATTTCATGGAGACAATGCTCAGAGAGCAAAGAGTGTATAAACCACTGACTGAATATCCTTTCCTCATAACCATCTTCCATCACACTACCAAAAGAGAAAGGGGTGAAAAAAGAAAAATCAATCAAAGCCAATCACAAACCAAAAATCCTAAGGAAGTAGGGTGCATTAAAGTTTCGCCTGGAAAACAGCCAGCCAGGGAACAGACCATTGCAATCAAAACCCTCCAAAACAAACAGACAGATATCTGTACCAAAATCAGGACACAGACACAAAAAAATAAAAATTCAGTGTGACCATGTAATGTGAATTAACTATTCATAAAACAAACAAACAGAGCAAAAACAAACAACAAACCAACCCAACCAAAGGTGTCATATACAGCAAGCAAAGAGATCTGCCAAGACTTGGTCTTGTGCCACAGATGCTCAACATCATTTTATCATGCTTTACCAAATACATATTTCTTCATAAAATGAGTTCCCCATATTGTTACATTTAAGGTCTCTGAAGCCAACATCATTTTTCATTGGCAATGTACAAGAAGACCATAGAATCCTAAATTAAAACAACAAAAGGTATCCATAAATTTTCCCAAGAATACATAAGCAAGTGGAAAATAATCTTATAACGTGCAGCTACCACCCTCAAACCTGCAATGACAGTCTCTTAGGATGATTTTTTAAAGAAATCCCTCCTTATTATCTTCTGGGAAATAAAAAGAAGAGAAGAAGTGAGACATATAGCAGTTAAATCGAGCTCTCCACCTTCCCTTAATATAGATTTCCTCCTCCTACATTAGGCAATTTACAAGTGATGACTAATCATTTACATACTACAATACGTAAAATACACTTCTGGTTGTTTGGGTGGGTTTTTAAAGGGACTCAGGTTTCTATAAAATATTTCTGGGCGAGTATAAATAGCAAAAAGGAATCAGTCAGAAAATAGCCTTTAAAAATGAGACATTTATGTTTCCAGAATATCTGGTTATTCGGTGATGAATGCACTTTTTACTATTGTCAGTGCTGCAGTGACAGCACTGTTACGGAAAAACACACTGGATTATTCTTTTCCTTGCACATCAACAGAAACGTCAGTGATGATTTGACTGACAAAACCTTCAGTACCGAAGTGACGCAAAAGGCTGAACAAATGCACTTCTGTTTTTGATCCTCAGGTAGAAACCACAACGCTTGTTGCTAGGCAAAAACTACTTTCTTGATTTGCAAGCGAACAAAATTTCATAAGGGTGGTGGGATCGTAGAAGAGGTCTACAGAGCTTGAAGCAAAATTTCAGCCCCTAATTCCTTAAGCAACTTGAATATTGCCCATGGCAATGCAACAGAAAATACAGGGGCCCACCAAGTCATCTGTAGGTCCACTTTAATGGATATATAAGCACCAGTTGCTCAGCATACACTGTGGGATGGAAACGCTGATTTTTTTCTTAAATTGATTTCTTTTCAACAGGATTTTCATTTTAGAAGCTGAAAGTACTACTGAAATTGAGCAAATACAGTCAGAGCTCAAAGAGAAAGGGATGGAAGAAGGCGTGTATGGTCACATACATTCTTACAACACATACCACGCAGATTCCAAGAAAAGTCTGTGGGAAGGAATACATTTCATTTAATGCAAGAGTTTAAAGACTATGCTCAGAAAAAAAGCTGTCAAAAAAGCAAAGAACAGAAAAACAAGCAAAGACATTAGAAAGCCCTATGCAATGAGCATCTGAGAGGTGACCATCAACTGACATTAAAGAGAGACATCTGATAAAACCATTAGAGCCCACCACAGGTGAGCAAGCCTTTTCTGTATTATATAATAAATGTTTTGATGTTCTCATAGGTATCACATGCTGAAGCAGGCATTTCAAGATCATTATGCTCCCAGGATCAACACGTCCTCTCTCAGGGAGGAGATGAGCAAGCTTTAAGGCCAAAGAGCATAATCTTCACTGAGAGCAGGTAGCAGCAGGCAGGACTGAGCCCTGACAGAATGAAATCCGAGGGTCTTTCTTCAAACAAATCTGCTAAGCATAGAGGTAAAAGCCATTTCAACCTGAATGGATCCTGTTACTGAAAACTGGCTGATGCTGGCCATATCCACACACCAGGATCCTTCTCATCCCATAGTGATTCTCCACTTTCATGAATGGTTTGCAGGTAAGACCCCATGAGCTGGAAGCAGAGCTGTCAGTCATGATTTTTACTATGCGATATATACCTCATTCATACAAGATAGGTTTGACTCATTATTGCTAACTCACTCATCAGACTCCTGGAAACCACTGGAAACAGACTATGGTATTATCGTAAGATTATCAGGAGACACAACTTTCAATGTTGACAAACTCTCAAGGCCTAAAGTATAAATTTCCAGTTATTTGACATTTACTTAAATATTCTAGTTTCTACCATCAAGCAAATCTAAGAGAATTTTGTCTTCATGTTGTCCCCTCTTCATCATCACTAAAAAAACAGATAGAGTGATTGCCTATATTTTCTGCTCCTACACGCCACAGACATTTTCAAGTAAAAAGTCATTTAGACCCATCCAATAATGGCACTTTAGCAGAGACTGTCAGCAGACAATATTTTTTTTTTCCACAGTTACAGAAACATGAGCATCTGCGTACAAGCAACAGCACAATGGTCATTGACCAACCTCAAGGAGAGCAGCAATCTATCATCAGTGCCAATGGTGGTCAAATTTGATGAAAACAGGGCAGATTGAAATATATTGGACTATATTTGAGACTTTATGCAACAACCAGTTGTCTTTTAAAAGGCAACTAGATGATATGGAGTAGCATCCCAGCTGAAGCATCTATTCTGGAATAGAACTGGCTCTCCTCCCAGTCTGCACGTGAAACCCGGTATTCAAAAATGACAGCAAGAATGAGAAGAGTTTAACAACCAAAGAAAAAACCCAGAAGCAAATCAACTTTTTGTGGTTTACACCCGATTCCTTTTTTCAAATGGATCCTCTTGTTCTTAACAAATTGCCACCAATATTTTTCCACTTTAATCCTCTATCAGATGACCTCATGTCAATGCCATCATCTTTAGCCAAGTAATAATGATGTTCCCTCCAGCTCGTTGTTTTTCTGCAAAGCTAGAAGCTTTACCCAGGAAAATAAACATAGATGGCCTTTAGGGAGAGTCTGCTTTGCTTTAATACTTTAGAAAAGGCTTGAAAAAAAATGCTCTTTTATCTGTCACAATGATCATTTGAAGTCTTCCAGGATTATCATGAAAAGATAGGAGGCTTTGAATGATCTGGCTAATAAATGTCAATCACCCAAGTTTAGTAGGAACTGACTAACACCCAAACTTTTAACAAGCTAATCAGATGTACAAATCAGTACCACTGGAATGACTTGTTTGCTTTAGCCCAGCCTTCAACACCGCCTCATGCATTTCAAACCCATATGCCAAATTGCATCTCATTCCCCGACAAAACCTGACAAATTTCCCTAAAATCAAAGTCATTAAATTAACTGGTCTCACTGTTAGGTGGTGGAAAATAGCACAGCACTTGTGACTAGAAATACAGGGACAGAGAGCTTCCTAGTCGCCCTTTCAATGTA